GAGAGAGAGTCATCTTTAAAGGCTCAGTTAAAGGAGGGTTAAATAACACTTTAGAGGAAAGTTTTGAGAGTCAAAAGGTTTATTCAGATGCAGGAAGAGACTAGGGGGGGACATTTTAGCACCAGAGAAGAAATGAGGAAATGTATCCCTCTCCTTTGGGTGATTGGTGGGGGACCATGAAGGTAGAATCTTGTCTGTACTGTCAGACATGGTCACTGTACAAGCTGATTTTATTTGCCTGCTTTTTATTTTTATTTTTGTTATAATGGAAGGATCATGGGTGGGGAAGATGGGAATATATATATATATATATATATATATATATATATATATATATATATATATATATATGTGTGTGTGTGTGTGTATATATATGTATGTGTATGTGTGTATATACATACATATACATATATATGTGTATATATATGTATGTATATGTGTGTATATACATACATATACACACATATATATATGTATATATATATGTATGTGTATGTGTGTATATACATACATATACATATATATGTGTATATATATATGTATGTATATGTGTGTATATACATACATATACACACATAGACATATGCACACATATAAAAATAACTGATGAAAACAAAAGGCTTCTATATAATATCATTTATTTAAACTATTTAATATATAGCTATAAATTTTAAATAAATATTTTAAGATATATTTTAATTTAAAGATTTAAAATATATTTATATATTTTAAATGCATATATTTAAATATATAATGTAATTATATATTTAAAAAGAGGACAGAGGCAAAGACCTTTGGGATTTTTAGATCACTGTTTTAATTCTGGTTTGGAGCAGGCTTTTTAACTTTCATGGGTCTCAGATTCCTCTTATGTCATATAAGACGGTTGGACTTGATAACCTTTAAGGTCCCATGAACTTGAGGGAGTTATCCTCCAGGGAACTCAACTTGTGAGTGCAAGTTGGTGCAAGGGGATGGTATTGCAATTAAGATGGTCTTTTTGCAATTATCACTTTCACATTTCCTGTTCTGACTCCCATCTTCCCACTCCATCAGCTATTTAGAAACTTTCATATAATTTTACCAATAATTCAAATGGGTTTACAACTTATAGTGTATGCACATATACATACACAAATGTATATATGTATATTTACACATATACATATATGTGTACATATTCACATTCAAGTTCAATATAACAAATGTTGGACTCTGTAACTTTGATACACAGATCTCTGGGTTTTTGTAACAAAGATGTAAAGTATTTCCTTACATGTCCATTGAGATTAAAGAGATAATCTCTAAGGTTTTTTCCATCTCCTAAGAAGATGAAATTAAGTCCCAATTCAATTAAGCAATCCATAAACACTTACTAAACATCGACTACCTTCAAGGCACTGAGAGGTGCTAGAGATTTGATGATAGAATACAGGACAGTCTTTGCCCTTAAGGAGATTACCTCCTGTTGGAAAGTAAGTCTCAATGATCTCCATCTCAGTTTCAGGTCAAATTTCTCTATATGGAAGTTGTGTTTACATAACCATTAAATGTTAAATGTATTACTAGGGTGAGTATCTATTTACCACTATCTCAAATACTAGTGCCATCATTGACAACCATGACCACTCCAGTAAAATGTAAGCTTCCTGAAGGCAGGCACTGGTTAATTTTTCTTTTTATATACTCGGTATCAAACACAATGTTGAGACACAGTGGGTACTTAATATATGCTTATTGAGTTAAATTGAGTCATTTATCTATTTCCTACTGCTAGCAAGAAATGCAGAATATGACAAATAAATTCATATAACATAAGTTCATCATTCTCTTGCAGACTAACAGAAATCAAAATATTAATGGAACATGAAGCTTGATATTTCTTTTAAATATTGTCTGAGATAATCATACACAACACTTCCATGGCATTTTGTGAAAGGGCTTATTTCTTACGTTTTCATTCAGGTAGTAATGTTAATAATAGGAAAAGACCATCAGTCTGGAATCTCTTGTCTCATTTTAATCCAAGCATTATTTCTTTCCAGGTGTAACTTCACCTTTTTATGCCCCAACTGATCTCCTTGCTCCAAGTTCCTCTGGATATGATCAAACTGAGAACATATTTAGCCCAACATCATAAGAAAGACGTTAAAAAATATACGCTAGCATACGTGATCACTGCACAATCAATATTTTGGAGTTGAGAGATTTCATTTTTTCTAAGTAAATCATTTGTGTAAAAAAAGGAAAGTATCACCAAATTCTCAAAGTGGTTAGTTCTTTGATAATTTGTCTAAGATAATGAATTATTATTATTTTTACTACCTGTCAGTTTGAACAGATACCAGGCATTCAGGACCCATCATATCTCTTGCTTGAAATATTTTGAATACTGAATCACCAAAACCTGACATTAATAAAACATGTTGGTTCTGGCTTAGACCATAAAAGTCAGGAAATCCAGAGTTAAGGTTGACACGGCACTCTTAACTCTGTGCCCTGGCTCATATGTAGGGTGATAGGACAACGTGAGTGGGAACTTAGCTTCTGTCAATCTCCCTGCATCATCTGAGAATGTAATCCAATTAGTGTAGAAAGCATACACATGCTTTTCTGCTGAGAGTCACATTCACTATATTACCCAAATCTCCTCTCTGGGTTCTCATTTCTACTTCTTACTGCAGTGCTCCAGCAAGACATCCTCAAACATTCAAAAACTGGACTTGCAAATACAATTTCCCTACTTTTATGAGGCTTCAAGATGACTGATGCACACTCAGCTTTCCTAGTTGCATTCCAGCTCCTGGCCAGACAGATAGCATTTAGGTAATACTCTTCCTCTCTGTTAACATTCTCGGGGTACATTGGGGATTGGTTAGATGATGTCCCTCTCTGGGGTAGGGAGTACTTGATTCACTGACATCACTATGATTCAGGCAGGTTCACCAAACTCATCTGAAAACTAGGGACCCCACGCCTAAGAATGGATGGATGATTTCCCATGATTCTGCAAAGAGTAAACTGAGGTTTTAATGTGTCAGATGAGATTTCACTCTTGCTATACTTAGCTTAGTACAATGCCTTACATGTAACAAGAACTTAATAAATGCTTTTTCATTTGTCATTCCTTCCTGATTCTTTTTTTCAGGGATTGCTATCCCCTGTATGAGAATATTTCTAGAATGATTATTTCTTTGTTTCTTATGATGATAAGCATTTCCAATGACCCTGCACAGTCATGAACTATATCTAAGATGTCTCAAAATTTTGTTTTGAAAACAAAGCAGGCAAATAATAATCTAATTTATCCAGGCACAGTGGTGCATGCCTAAAATCCCTGCTACTGGGAAGTCCAAAGATGGTGGATTTTTTGGTCTCAGGAGTTCTGAGCTGCAGTGGGCTGATCCCATCAGTTGTCTGTACTGTCTAGTACCAATTTGGTGAGCCTTCAGGAGTGGGGAGGCACAGGTTGCCTAAGTAGTGGTGAACAGGCCCAGATCAGAAATGAAGTAGTTGAAACTTCTGTGCCAGTAAGTAGTAGGATCAAGGCTATGGATAACCACTTAATTTCCAGCCTGGGCAAGATAGAGATAGCCAGTTTTGAAAACCACTCCCACCACCATCACAAAATCAAAATTAATTAAATTTCATATTTTTTCATGCAAATATAAAAAATACCTAAAATTTCTCATGAATGGGCCAAAGTCTTAGCAGTCTTACAGGATCATGGAGAGAACATTAGTGTTACAAAGATGGACATTTGTTGAAGAGAAAACCTTGGAGTCACTGTAAACAAATATAGTCCCTTTTCTCAAATGTAACCCAAGCTTCCCTCTTCTTCTTCTTCTTCTTCTTCTTCTTCTTCTTCTTCTTCTTCTTCTTCTTCTTCTTCTTCTTCTTCTTCTTCTTCTTCTTCTTCTTCTTCTTCTTCTTCTTCTTCTTCTTCTTCTTCTTCTCTAACTCCATCCTATTCTTCATCTACAGCACTTGTCCTAGATATGTATACCAATGGAACATCAGTAGGTTGACTGCCCAACTGCACATCACAGTCTAAAACATACAATACCTCATCTACTTGGTTTTATAACAATAGCACCTATCTCGTGTGCCTCACAGGGTGGCTATGATGTTCAAATCAGGTAGCGTATACAAAGCACTTTGGGAACCTTCAAATGCAATATAAAAAGACAACTATTTTTTTTTTATCATTCTCACCTAATTCTCACCTTTTTTGATGGTGTTAAAAAGAAATGGTCCTGGGATAAGTAACTATCCTGTTATTATTCTTTTACATTTCATGTTTACTGGCCTGCTGCACAGATGGATAAAATAACTGCTTTTTTTGTAATTGAATAAAAGCATTATGATGTAAATTCCTCCTCTGTAGGCTCACTGAAAGCATCCTTGGTACAATTCCCATAGCAGACAGGACAATGGGGATGGTATGCACCTCCTTCTGTTCACACATAATTTTGATTTCTTCTGATACTTCGAAGACTATATGTATTTGGTATGGAAACATCTATTTAAATGTTCTTGAGGTCTTGTAGATCAACATTTTGTCTGGGTAAACGGGTAGCATTTTGTCTTGATAATGGTCCAACATCCAATACATGGTTTCCTTGTGTTTCTAGATTTTTTTTTAGTGATACACTGTGAATGCTTTGTAAAAAGTCCATAAATACATAATTGGCCTATATTTGGAAGGGTCACTGGTAGACTCATCTTTTGGCAATATATGAATGATATCTTTTCTCCATAGATATGGAAAAGAAGCTGGTAAAGTGCTTTGTTATCAATTCATGCGTCATAGTGAAGCATGTGAGTCAATAATTATGGATCTTATCTTAGTCCCACTTCCTTCCAGTTCTACAGAGAATTTAGTCTCAATCATTTTCCTTGACATAACTAGTCTGTTATTTGTTACATTACATTAACACAAGTTTTCTGTTTCTCTTTTTAATCCAACTTTCATGATGATGGTAATGATGAGAAGCAGGTGATGAAAGCCAGAAGACCCAGGTTCAAGGACTGCTTCTGACTTCCACTGTTTGACTATGGTCAGCATGCTTAACCTCCCAGTCAGGTAACTCCTCAAGGCATAGGTGAGTTATTGATCTGCATTGGTCATGGGTGAGTTATCATCATAGGATGGTTATTGACCTGCATTGGTGGAGGTAGTTGCAATGTGTGGAGGTCCTGTTAGAATGATAAAATCAGTAGAATCAGCAAAATAGGAGTCCTCAAGACTCACCCTGGTGATGGAACCTTGGGTATGCTTAACCCCTCAGCACCCAAGGTGACTCTTAGGAAATCAGTTGTAGAGGAATTGCAAAGCTGCCTACATGGAAGTTTCTGCTTTGGAAATTTTCCACATAGGTGAAATCATGGATCCAGCTCAAACAAATAAATAACCAACTGACTTCATAGATGAATGATCATCACTGGGAAACATCATTAGAAACATCACCTAAAACCAGAATCATCTTTACCTTTTCAGAAGGAAATGATTGTATTTAATACAACAGGCTGTCATACATTTGTCCTAAGAAGTGAGATTCAGTCTTCATGGTTCATTTTCATAGAAAGGCCAAGAGCAGAACTTTCTTAAACCAGATGTTGACAATTATTACAAATGAAAGGGAAGCAGGGTTTCCCTAAGCCAAATTTCCTGCAGCTGGGATGTAATTACATGAGTATGTAATAGACATTCACAATGCGAAAACACCGTCCTTTTAACCAGCAAGTTCATGTGGTTAGCAATACGTCATTCTATGGTGAAGACACAAATCTTACTAACCATAGCAAATAGGAGGAGATAAATAGTTTTGGTTTGACTAAGAACTCAAAGATGGAAGATTTAATTCTCATGGAAGCCATCAGAGCTGTAATTAGTTCATGGTGACCAGGGCTTTGCCTGGTCCAATTTTTTTTAATAGGCACTAAATGTATGGGTTTATATGAACTCTGTGAGAAGCAGTTATATGTATCCCCTATGCTTAGAACAGTGTTTGGCAAATATTAAGCACTCAATGAATGCTTTCAATCCATTCATCCATCTATCTCTCTATCCATCCTTTCATTTCATTAATTCATAGGTAAGAATTAGACCGACCTTACAGACAAGGTATGAACATCATAGCTTCCATTTTTAGGACAAGCCCAGTTCCACAAAATACAACTTGAAAGTGGGTTTGCTGGAGACTTCACCTGTTCCCTTCTTTCAGCTGCCATGCTGAGTAAATTTACTCGCTGTCAAATCTGACCTGCAAATTAGAGATGAGGGTGTTGAGTTCTACCTTTTATTTGTTCTCCCCTATGCTGCCAAAAGTTGAAGCAGGCAGGAGCTTGAGGGTCCCCATTCTGGGTATATGATTATCCCCTTTGTCTGTGTTATTGGGTGTGTGTGTGTGTGTTTTTCACGCCTCAAGTTTCAGAAAGCTGAGCTGGTGACTGATAACGTTCTCTCTTTCTGTGGCATGTGATTTCCAATTCATTGCAAAGCAAAGTTTAAGCTGCTAAAAAGCTAGTTTTTAACTACCCCAAGGAACAAGTTATAAGGAGGAGGGCTGACGGTGCTTATCAATGAGATCAGTAAGCTGTGAAGATGTGTGGCCAGATATTTCTTGTCATTAACATATGCAGTGTGATCAGAGACTGCCATAATTGTTATCATTGTGGGACCATAAAGCTTTATGGTAACAGCAAGTGTAAATACCTTGGCTTGAAAGGTCAGCTAAAGGAAGCCCAATGATCCCACCATTGCTATGGAGCCACTAAAATGGTGAGGGTGGGGTTGGGGATGGGTTCTTCAAGGGATTCTTATGACAAGCAAGAAAACAAAGCCTTTGACCAACATTTTGATGTTTAGACTTAGCAGACTAAAGAGATAGATGGCTCTATAATGAATTAAATTTCGAGACAAATAATAACATCATTGTTTTAATGCCTGCAATTAGCTTAGCTTTTAATTGACAATGCCATATATTTAACTAAATTTTCATTATTGATTTTTTATAATTTTGAGAAATAGGACTTGGAATAGATGACCATTTGTCAGGAATGGATTGAACTAGATGGGCACTACCACTCCTTCTAATTCTGCAAATCTCTAATTGTGTGACTATTTCTTTGTGCACGGGATGATGGTGGTGGTAGGGTGGTACAGAACTGTAATTTCATAAGTATCAGAAACTTCCAGTATATAAACTCTTTCTGTTGAAACAAATGGGCAGCAACTCATCGGTACCTGAGTCTTAGAGAATTATCTGGGACAGTTCAGTCATTTTTCAGTCATGTCTGATTCTTCATGACCCCACATGGGGTTTTCTTGGCAAAAGGTTTTCTTGAAGTAGTTTGTCATTTCCTTTTCCACCTCATTTTACAGATGAGGAAACTGAGGCAAGCAGGGTTAAGTGACTTACCTAGGGTCACTCAATTTCAGAGGCCAGATTTGAACTCAGGAAATAGAAGTCTTCCTGACTTCAGGCCTGCGCTCTATGTACTATGAGGCCAGCTAACTTCTCAGACACGCCAAGATGTTAAATGATGTATCCAGATAACCAGAGTCATTATGTGTTAGAAGCAAGACTTGATTCCAGGTATTCCTGACTTTGAGGGAATCTCTATTCATTGTACTAGGCTGATTTTGGGGACTTATACCATGCTAACATTAACCAAAGAAATTATTCATCTATTACCCTCGCAATGTCATTGGTTCTCTTTGAGAATGAAGAATGAACAAAAACAAAACAAGTGAAGAATTTTAGATATGGCCAATCAGATGCAATTCCCTCCAAGAAGAGTCAGAGGATGTGTGTGTGTGTGTGTGTGTGTGTGTGTGTGTGTGTGTGTGCACGCGCGCACGTGTGTGCGCACGCGCGTTGTCTGCAGATCATCAGGAAAATGAGAATTCAAAAGGAATTTTTTTCTTTCTTCAGTGGCAGATCCTAAAATAAGATTTAAAGGCCAGAAAAGCTGATTCACAGAGCCTGCATTGTGATTTCCAGTAGCACTGCTCATCAGAGCATGCAGAAAGAAAAAAAAAACCCCAACCCAACAATGCTGCTTTTGGTATGCTGTAAGTTTTGATAGTTTCAGGCCCGCACTTCTAGATTTACCTTCTACTTTTGCAATCACGTCGATGGCAGAGCAACAAACTATGTGCTGGTTTATTATAGTTAATGGATTGTTCATCCTCTTTGTCCTTTAGATAATCCCGAGTACGTGCATAAACCGGAGATCACACCGGCCATCAAAACCAATCAGCCCCGTGTTCTTTCTCAAGGTGTTGAGCATTCACTAGAGCAGATGGTAAAGATAATGTTTAATAAAGAGTTAGAGGATTAGTTGGAATGATAATTTTAAAAAAAAGACCAAAAGCAAGCTATGACGAAGGTAGAACTGTGACCCTTCATGACATTTCATGCACCAAAAGACCGATGAAAAAGCATCCCTTTCCTGTCGCTTGCTCTGACTTTGTCCCAAAGTTGACCTCCACATTAGGGTATTGCTAAGGGGATTTGTGAATAATCCAAAAGATAATTTCTCAGGTTTAAACAGCTGAATGACATAACTAATGCACAAATGAATAGGTAGACCAGGAAATGGCATGATTCTGCTAAAAATGTTTATATTTGGACAACTGATATGTTCTACTGTGATTTAGAAGGATTATTCATCTTTCTCAATGTCATCGCCATGTAAATGAATTTAAGAAGGGAACTGTCAGTCTGTTTACTGGTGAGGCTTATGTTTCTCACATTCAGAGGTTAAATAGTGACTGATGTTTACATGGCGACCGTAAGTATGCAAGGTGCTTTTAAGTGTAATAATCTCATTAGAGCTTCCCAACCACACTTTGAGATGGGTACTGCAGGTATCCCCTTTTTGTAGCTGAGAAAATTGTGGGTCAGTAATGTACCCACAGTCCCACAGCTAGTAAGTGTAAGAGGTTCCACTGGAACCTAAGGTCTTAGGCTCTAGGATTAGAGGTCATCTAGTTCTCATTTTACCAAAATGGAAATCAGGACCTTGGGAACTGAAATAACTTCCTCAAAGCCATAGAGAGAGTGAGTAAGATTCAACCTAGGACTTGAACCCAGGTGGGTACAGTTGGGATTTGACCCCCAAACCACTGAGCTGCACTGCCTCCCAAGCCTAGCATATAACCCATTAGGTTAACCTGCCTCTCCTAAACAAAGTAAATGAAAAATAGATTGGGGTTTGCTGCATAAAAGAATGCTGTTAGGTTAAACACCATGATTTGTAACTGTTGTTGTTGTCCAGTCATTTTTCAGTCAGGTATGACTTTTCTTAATCCCATTTGGGGTTTTTCTTGCAAAGATCCTGAAGTAGTCTGCCGTTTCCTTCTCCAGCTCATTTTACAGATGAGGAAGCTGAACTAAGCAGGGTTAAATGACTTGCTCAGGGTCACACAGCTAGTATCTAAACACAGGAAGATGAGTCTTCCTAACTCTAGGCCAGGCACTCTATTCACTATACCACTTAGCTTCCCTTGATTTATAACTAGTGTTTAAAAATAATAATAGCTAACATTTATATAGTGCTTATTATGTGCCAGGGAGCATGCTAAATGCTTCATAATTATTATCTTATTTGATCTTCACAATAACCCTGGAAGGTAGGTTATTACCATTGTCATTTTACAGATGAGGAAACTGAGGTAAACAGAGGTTAAGTGATTTGCCTAGGGTCTCATAGCTAGTCAGTATCTGAGGCTGGATCTGAACTTAGGCCTTCCTAACTCCATATCTGGTCCTTTATCTACCACACCACCTAGCTGCCCTCCTCCCCTCAAACATACGCCCATGCCTATGCTCACAGACACAAATCCACCAAAAATCAAAACAAAACCCTAACTCCAAATGCTAGTCCTAGAAACAAAACCAATCTTTGGCCTTAGAATGTCTCTTTGTCCACTATCACATTTGTTTCAAGAAAGGAAATGTAAGCCAGTTGAGTGGGTATAGAATTCAAGGTCCTTGAGGAAAGAAATGATTTTCCCTAGTGTCTGTGGCACCTTAGATGCTTAGAAAATGTTTGTGGATTCCATTGGACTGGATGGTTTGGGATGGCATCCTGCAGTTTGAGGATATTGAGATTTTCTATTTCTTCTGAAAGGTCATTGGGTCCCATGTCAACTTTGGAAACCAGACGCTGAGTGACCCTAGAAAGGAAGAGTCTAGTCACTTCCTATTGGCCACTCCCTTGGCTTTTCCTTCAAGGTTCAGCTCAAGGCCTTCTTCCACAAGGACTATTTTGTCCCACTCCTTCATTTCCCCATCCCAGGCTCTTAGTACAGTGCCTGGGTATGTGGTAGATGCTTACTAAATGCTTGTTAATTGAATTAAGAAAGGAATTTATGTCTAGGCCCTAGAGCAGGGGTGGTGAACCTGTGGCCTCAAGACCACATATGGCCCTCTAGGCCCTCAAGTGCAGTCCTTTGACTGAATCCAAACTTCACAGAATAAATCCCCTTAATACAAGGATTTGTTCTGCAAAACTTAAAAAAAAACCTTTTGACTTAGTCAAAACGCCACACCCAAGGACCTAGAAGGCCACATGTGGCCTCAAGGCCACAGGTTCCCCACCCCTGCCTTAGACTGAGCTCCTAGAATTTCTACTGAGCTCTGCTTTTTTTTTTCAATATTAATTTTAGTTTTCAACATTCACTTCCATAAGCTTTTGAATTTTAAATTTTCTTTCCCTCTCTCACCTCCCCAAGATGGCATGCAATATGATATAGGCTCTACATATACATTCTTAGTAAACGTGTTTTCACATTAGTCATGTTGTATTGTTGTAAAGAAGAATTAGAACCAATAGGAGGAACCACATGAAAGAAGAAACAAAACAAAACAGAAGAAAAAAAAGAGCAAATAGAATGCTTCAATCTGCATTCAAACTCCATAGTTCTTTCTCTAGATGAGGATATGAGCTCTGCTTTTAAAGCTCTTTGAAAAAAAATGTTTTAACATGTAATGGAGAAAAAAATAACATATATATATATGTATATGCATGTGCGTGTATATAAAAGAAAAAAAAAGCTCTTTGAATGCAACCTGGCCTCTCCTAACCTTTCCTCCCCTTCATGTACTCTACAACACTCCTAAATCCATGCCTTTTCACTGACTATGCCCCATGCCTAGAATGCTCTCCCTCTTTCTCTCCTAGTTTCCCTAAATCCTCCCTTCCCTCCCAACTCTTCCCCTTTTCCCCTTGAGATTATCTCCCATTTACACTTAATATATCTTGTATGCACATAGTTTTATGTGCAGTTTCCTCCTGTGAGCTCCTGGAAAAAGGATATGTTTTTATTTTATTTTTTTGTAACCCAATACTCAGCATAGTGCCTAGAATGCAGCAAGTGCTTAATAAATGCAGTGAACTTTTCAGTTAGTTGCTTTGCAAGAGTAGTCACCTTGAGGATGGGGCCATTCGAGTGCCTGACACCTCCTGCCCGTCTAATACTACCAGCACTATACTGTAGCCAACGTTATTTGACAGTATCCTTACCACGCTTCAGAAATGTAGGAAGATTCTGAGCTGAACTGGTGAATATTTCAAAGCATCCTTAAGTTACAGAGTTGAAATGCTGTGCTGGAGAGGTGGCCAATGAAGGCTCGCAAATATAAAAAGGTCGTTCCTGGTTTTTCTTGAAGAAAGAACTGAGCCTTGGGGTAAGCTGTTACCTAAGCCATCTCTATTTATTAATTTTGGAAATGGCCTTTTCACAATTATATTTCCTCGTGTATTAAGCTTTCGGTCTTGCTTGAACATGCAGCTCTGAGTAGACAAGACAGGAGAATGGAAATTTTTTTCCTCAGATGATTGGCAAATAGGCCTCAAGGCTAATGGGCAATGGATCCGTCCATTAAGAATCATAAATAAACATATTGGTTTTATAGTGTACTCAGTGTCCCTGACACAACACAAAACATAAAAGGGCAAGGTCCTTGACTTGGAGATTGTCAGACAATCACGAAACACTGGATAATAGTAAAGGTGCCTGGAATAAAATAGAAAAAAGATTCCAGGCATACATGGAACTTTTCTAAACTGCCTTTTATCCTAAGTGGCTGATTTTTTTTTAAAATGAGGAAATATAACTTTTAGAGGATAACAAATACACAGATCCCCCAAGGGGTAAGTTAGCTCAAGTAGCCAAGAGTTTCATTGAGATTCCAGGTCTTTTATCCCAAGGAGGATGATTACACACAGATGGGAATTCACAATGGCCTGTGATCTTTACACATCCAGACAGACACATGGACTAGAATGACCTTTAGGCCTTAGAATTCCAGTTATACATATAGAAGTACAATGAATTAGTCTGTGTCTTTGTAGCTGAGGCAAAAACATCCTGTTTATTGTAGGATAGCATTGCTAATGACAGATGATCGGCATGGACCAGTTAGGGGTGTGCAGATGGCCTGGATAATTTCTTTTAGGTTAACTGGACAGCCAGAATTACCCTAAACCAGGTATTGAGTAATATATACGCTTTATTCTGGGATCAATCTTATGGGAATTCAATTGATAGAGTGCTGGCCTGACATCAGGAAGACTTATCTTTGTGAGTTCAAATCCCACCTCAGATACTTACTAACTGTGTGACACTGGGAAAGTCACTTTGCTCTGTTTGCCTCAGTTTCCTCATCTAGAAAAGGAAATGGCAAACCACTCTAGTATCTCTGCCCAGAAAACCCCAGATAGGGTCATGAAGAATCAGTCACCACTGAAAAACAGCCGAAAACAATAACACTTGGCAAATCTATTACCTTCTTACGATGTGCTAGGGGCAGTATGTAAGGTGCTGCGGATAGAAAGACAAGCAAAAAATAGTCTCTGCCCTCAAAGAGCTTACATTCTATTTGTATATATCTATACAAGCTATAACTTGCACATCCAAATTACATGCAAAGTTATAGAAAATAATTTTAAGAGGGAAAGCATTAAGAAATGCCTTGTGTAGGACATGGTGTCTGAGCTGTGTTTTGAAGGGATTTAGGAGGTAGAGGTGAAAAGGGAGAGCATGTGAGACAAGGGGCATCATTTTTGTAAAGGCATAATGGTGGGACGAGGAAGAGAATAGCTGGCCAGTCAGTTACTTTGGAAGGGAAAGAGCTTAAGGGAGAATACTACGAGATAAGGCTGGGAAGATTCATAGGAGCTATACCGTGGGGAGCTTTAAATTCCATGCTGGGGAGGAATGGGGAGCCACTGAAGATTTATGATTTGGAAGCGGTATGGTCAGAACTGTGGTACAAAAATATTAGTTTGGTAGCTGT